AGACCACTTTCAGCGGTCTTCAAAAGTCCTTGTATCTTGTTGGGTGTAACTTCCTCCTTGTTCATGTGATATGTCATTCAGAATTGATCATAAAAAGTAGGTAAGGAGTGCATTTTGATGTCAATAGAAAACTCCTCGGGGAAGTTCACATTCAATTTCAGCAAACGGTCCACATACCGTTGCATTTTCTATAAGTGGCCTGTGATGGATTCACCATCCTTCATTCGGGTTTTTGTCATGGAATAGATGATTTAATACCTCTCTTGATGAGCACTTTGATGGTAGCGGTCCATCAAGTCCATGTGCATCTCAAAATAGTAAAAGTCCTCATAGGACTTCTGGAGTTCAACTGTCATTGTGACCAACATTATACATGCCACCTTGGTAGCATCTCTCTCATTTTCCCTAAAGTTAGCGATCTCCTCTAGAGTAGCAGTAGACTCATCCATTTCCTTCAGCTCCTTGTCGTGGACATATTCCTTTTCCTTATAACGAGTGTGATGGGTTTTGGTCATAAGAACATCCTATGTGCTCATACAAACCCTAATGTTTGGATCTAGGTTTCTGTATTGTACATGCAAGTTATCCAAGACTATAAACCCTAATTCTCTCATACAATTAATCATATTAACATGAGAATAGGTTTAAGATATTACCTTGATTTTTATGTAGCAATAACAATCCCAATTCCTCCTTGTATTGACTTTAGAAAGCTTAGAGTCACAAATGTCACTCCTCTAATGGTTCACAAACACCATAAGCTAGAGGTTGAAGAGGAGAGAGGATGGAGGCTGCCCAAAACGTGTTTTAACCCTAGAAGAAAAGTTCACCATGTTTTTAGGTCATAAGGGTCATATATATATTGAGGCTATTAGGGTTATCTAACAAGGAAACCCTAATTTGGATGCTTAAGCCCTAAGCAACCCATGGACTCCTTTATTTAAGGCCTTGGATGATTTCCTTATGGGTTTCCCCATAGATTTCGTTCACTCCTTAATATAAGACAACTCATAGCCCAAATTGCAATTATCTTATAATTACAATTCAAGTCCCTTAAGTTTAATTAATCTCTTTTAGTCGCAAAACTAATTACCAATAAATTATTGACTAATATTAATTAAACAATATGATTTCTCCTTTAATATATTATTCTCATAATATATTAATAAATCATATTTAAGCCTTTCTCTCCATAACTCATGCTATCAAGTTTCTTTGGTGAAGGCAACCCAAAAGGACCATGCACCATCGGGTCAAGTACATACCAAAATAGTTATGGACTTAGACACTAATCCAACAGAGTGACCATCCAGATGTTCCGAATCCAGTCCATAAAGTTGGAACCATCAAAGATGACTCTCCGACAAAGGTTAATGAGAGAAAAGGAACCGGTGGGGTTTAAGCTAGAAGCAACATTTTTGGACGACATCTGAAAAGAAGAAAGAAAAGTTTAAATTAGATATAGGATCCTTAATAAGACACCCAAATGTAATATTAAGGTTAGGACCCATCACAATACTTTATAACTTGGAAGAGGGATGTCGTAATCCAAGCTATAAAATATTTGAATGTAGGCGAATGACGATTCACCAATTTCGACCATGAAAAACAAAATAAATTATTAAGTTTTAAGTAGATTGAAACTCCTAGATCATTTGAGATTCATTGAACTTTCTAATGGTATGTTTAAATCTCGATTGTGCCCTCTCAAGTTTGTGACTGGTATGTCGAGGATCACAAACAAGGTGTGAATAACCATGCAAATTAAGTTGGTATACTTAATCTTTATCACCTAACTTATGTGCCAGTTAACTACACACGCTCCACCAATCGATGATAAACATTAAGTCACCCTTTTCCACTCTTACTAGTCCATGTTAGTGTACCGCATACCCACACACACTCGACCAATGACTTGGTAAGGTACAAAGTGTAATTTCATGGGATAGCACCAAATTCACATTTTCATAAAGTAACTAACACTGGGATTTATACAAGGTTTAGTTACTTTATATTTTTCATTATACTTTTAATGAGAATTATAGTCCTTGTTCCACCCATTCGGCTAACGACCCTCCACCAGTCAAGGAAGCGGTGGGCTAGAGTGTACACCTATTAAGCTGCCATTTTATAAGCAACAACCTTATACCCCCTTTATATATCGGCTTTTTGAATGAGGCCTACTAACGGTATAAATGACTTGCACTTATACATACATACATACACACACACACACGTATATATATACATATATATATATATATATATATATATATATTATTAACATATAATATTAGAAAGTATAAAGATTGAATTTTAACTTTAAGAACTCTATGGTATGGAATTCCAAAACTTGAGGGAATGTTTTGAAACTAATGAAAACCTTTCATATTCATAACTTATGAGTTTAATGGTTTATTAAAATGAAGAATCTTCATTTTTATGTAGCATATGATTCTTTAATGACTTTTAAAGAAGTGAATTTTGGTAATCCATAACTTGAGGAAAAATTATGGACTCCATCAATAACATTTAGATCAAGAATCATATCATCAAACAATTTGCACATAATTCCTATGATCTTTCAAAAATCATGACCAAGAATATTGATAACAACAATTTCAAGAATCATATAAACACATACAAAACTTGAAAATTTGATAATAGCCATTGAAAATGGATTAGCAGAACCATTACATCATCAAAAACAAGTTTCATAAGACCAAAACAGTTTAGGGTAATGATTCTAGTCCATTTCCAGTAGCAAAATTCGAAAATTTGCACACAAGGCTATCTACTCGTCGAGTGCATGAAGCCAACTCGATGAGTTGGATGAAGAAAAACACGGACTCGTCGAGTTCCCCCATGGAATCGGCGAGTCCACTAAGCAGTTGGAACAAAAATAGATTTTATCAAGCATTTTGCATCAAATAACAAGAAAGCAAACCTAGGCTTTGATACCACTGATGGGTTTTGATCATTCCAACACTCCTATGGTGTACATGCAACCCTAGAAACCTTGGATCTATGTTTTCTCTAATATTCATGCAAATATGATTTTTCCAAGGTTTACATCCTAACTAGCATGGCATGGGGAACTTGTACTATAAAAAGCTAGTAGAATGACATACCTTTCTTGTAAAGTGAATTCCTTAAGACCTTATGAGCCTAGCACCCCAAATGTGATGCCTCAAATTTATCACACAACACCACAAATGTTTGAATAACTTGAGAAAATAACACTTCACTCAAAATTCGGCTAGCCCTCCTTGTCTTGCAATAGTGGCCAATTTTACAAGGTATGGGGCTCTTTATATAGTGTGCCACATGTAGGGTTACACCATGTAAACCCTAATGTGCATGGGTTTTCATATTCCCATGATCCATGGGTTGGTAACCTTAATGGAGCACCCATGGAGCACCTAATGGGTCCTAGCCCAATCTAGTGAATCATGGACCTTAAGTCCATTATATAAGACTGAAGGATTTACAAATCTATCCCTATATATTTAATTAGTCTCTTTTTGATCACAAAATTAATTCCAAATTAATTTTTGATCAATACTAATTAAATAATACTATTAATACGTTAGAACTTATAATATATTAATAAACCATAAATGTCATTTTCTCATTTTGTCTATCCAAGTGTTGTAACGTCGTGCAACCCAAATAGACCATGCCGAGCCGGGTCAAGTACATACCAAATATAGTTATGAACTTACACACCTTATCCAATAGTATATGCCTCAAATGACCATTTACAACCACGAGTATAATTATGAGTATGGCCAAGGGTACAACAGCCCATACCACGTACATCAGATGATGGTCAACGGAGCACCCAACTACCCACACATGAAGAGCCCTGTAACAAGTATTGGCTCGACGTTCTATAAAAGAGTTGTTATAGTATGCAATACCACATTCTACCATGATTCTAAACATCCCAAAGTATGATGGCATGAAAGATCCTAACAATCACATAGACACCTAAGAGTGGACAACGACATTTCTTCAGATGGAAAAAATATTTACCAGCACCTACTTCTCGGTCACGCAATCCGGAAATGCTAGAAAATGTTCAACGTGATACGTCCGGGCAGTATCTCCATCTTTTAACAGCTAAGGTATCTTTTCCTCCACAACTTCATGCAATTAAGAAAACTCAAATGAGATGCCAACTCTATCATGGCATGCAAGCAAAAAGAGGGAGATCAATCCGAGCATACTATGATTGGTTTACCCTTGAAATCCTAAGCGTCCCCGGTCACGAGGAATTTCTATTCTTGGGCGTCTTCACCCAGGGGATACTCCCAGGCCCCTACCAAGGAAAATGCAAGGAACGGTGCCATAATCTAGGGATAAGCTCAAATATAAGGTCGAAAAATAACTCAGGAAAATTGAGGGAGAAGAACGCAAACAAGGTAATCCAAAAGTTATAGCGAAAACCTACATCAAATAAGAATTAGCCGGCTCCTACTACCACCATAGCCACAAGGAATGCAACGATGGAAGCCATGATAAACATAGCAGACATTCCATACACTCATCCCGTAGATTCTTCCCAATCGTCAAAGACGAGCCCAAGAGCCACAAGATGGAAGAACATGCAGTAGAAAAACCCCCTCAATGAATAGAAAAAGAGAAAAGAAAATATTGTGAATAGCATAAGAGCAAAACCCACAACACTGGAGAGTGTGCGATCCTCAAAAGAGAAGTAAAAGACAAGCAATTAAGTGGAGACTTAACGGAAATCGGAAAGACTCTACGATCAAAGTTCACAGCCGAGCAGAAAGACGAGAGAACCCAAGAAGAGGCAAACAAACAACCAATCAAAAAGGAGGAAATTCTTGCAATTATAAGGCCCGAGAATAGATCCAGGTGTCGGCTTCCAACCAATGGTGTCGATTGCTCACTAGACGATACTATCAACATAATTTTCTCACCAAAAGACCTGTGAGCGCCCGAATGGGACCCCATGAACAAAATCATAATCCTCACCATCTTCCAACAACAACAGATCTAGAAAGCCTTGGGCAATAGAGGTAGAAGCACCGACATCCTCTATGAGCAATGTTTCGAGCAAATTCCGCCATCCTGGAAGAGGAGCCTAAAACCCCTAATCCGAGCCCCATTCGTTGGCTTCGTGGGAGAAAAGTTATGGCCACTTGGGACCATAAACCTCCCATTTACACTACTCAGTCATGATGGAAAGGAAAGGGTAACAACGATAATCGATTTCTCATAGTTAAACACAAGTTAGAACATGATATGATCCTAGGGCGACCTGCCCTCTTCCAACTACAGGCCATCCCATCAACAATACAACGTATGGTAAAGTTCAGAACAACCAGCGTCTTAGCAATAGTAACAGCTCTAAACACACTGGCAAAAACACTTTGTGTGATCTCCACTTGGACTACCACGCACATCCCAAGAAGTGACACACAAAAACAAATACAACACATACGTTCAAGTGCAAAAAACAAATACCCACACCCAAGATAGGAGGAACAGATGACAACCTAAACAAAAAGCCATAGGGGAGAAGGTTGTGATAGCAACGACCTCACCACTCCCGAAATATCGTGGAGTGTCAGCACGAACACCAAACGAGGTTGGATATCACTGAGCATACCTAGATGTCTTCACGAAATAAGGGTACGGAGCATTGAAAAGAGGATACGGGGAAACACAGGCGTAAAGTCACGAAGCTCAACCGAAAACACAACCAAGGAATCCCCAGTGTTGGAGCAGTGTGGGTAGGAAATTGCCCTAAAAAAGAAGACAATGACAGGAGACTCACTACAATGGTAAGAGTCCGCAACTGGTAGAGGCTTCCCCCAGGATGGAATCTAGTCAATAACCTCGCAAAAAACAGAGCTTGCAACAAAAAAAGTCACACATAAGGAGGTAAAACCGCACAAAGGTGATAACAAAGCAACCAAAGTTGGAGCATGGAGGAAATTAAAGATCGTCTTCCAAATGACGACCATCCCAGAAACAACTTATCACAGCTCGAACACAAACGCCAGAGAGCTCGTATACACGAGTCATCGAAGGATACAAACCAAGATATACAAAGAAGAATACCTCATCCCGATGACCTGGGAGCTCTAGAGCCAAAACCAGTAGTCTTAGCTTGGGGGAATCAAGAGAAAGGTCCAAATCATCAAACTCCTAACAGATAATCATGCCCCAACTAGTCAGTCTAATGTTGTAGATGTCTCCAAGACACCAAAAAAAATATGCAAAGAAAAGAAAATTTGTTACAAACAAGTATCGAAATACTTTCGTACAAATGGAAAATAAAGACGGACTGATCACCCATGCCACCGAACACAGAACTAGTGAGAAAAACATAATCATAGGCCTCAAGGGCTCATCACTTCTTCCTAATAAGCATGTCAACAAGGTCAGGAGAGCTTCAAGTCCTGATCACGACAAGTAAGAGGCTATAAATGATCATAACATTTCCTTCAAAATGCATAATACCTGGTTTCTTAAATCCCGAGGTGACAATCTCGGTCTCGCTTAGATGATAAGAGTTGGAGTACAACTCCCCTTGACCCAAGGCTTAGAGAAAAAGCGCCAAAGTGAAGGCTTTTAGCTAGAAAAGACACCTTAATGGAATGGAACAACCAGAGTTCCTACCCAAACACTAGTTAAATCCTCGAATCACACAGACTGACCCAAGGGCGAGTGTTGAGTCTGTCAAAACAGACGCTCTAAGCCCTAAAAAACTTGTCAAGCAAACGATAACCATAACCGACACCTCCAAAGGCCAACACTAACCTCTAGAGAAAATCCAAACTCAAGATGAACAACACAAACCATCCAAGACTAAAAAAAGAGAAACATGATCAACTGAAGAACGAAGAAAAAAAGGAGCAAACTAAGCACACAAGAAAAAAATATAACAAATTATCTAACCCGGATTATCCCCCGGGATTTGGAAATGACCACGCAGGGCCAAGGAAGAAAGTCAGACATTGATTCAAACATTTTCAACAAACACCATGCAAATACCATATTATACATCAAATAATAAAAAACAAAAAAGAGCCACCACTTACGGAGGGTTGGAGGAAGGTCCAACGTGAGAAGAGCCACCTTCACGCTTACCCTCTTCAGTGTCAAGATTAACGCACAATTGGCGAAGGCCTCCTATCTCTATCTCACCTAAGAGAAGGTAAGAGAAAAAATTTGTCTCCATAAAAGACTTTATAGCAGCATGCATCGCCTAAGCATGCTCCACAATAAGGTTCACCTCTTCAGAGACAAACTTTCTGGTGGTAACCTGCACCCGCGTCGCTTGTTTTCCATTCTCGACACTGGTAGCCACACATTCCATCTTCATCTACTTAACCCCCAATGCAAACGTAGCACTCTCAACAACCTTATCCACCAATCAGATAATTCCCTTCTGAAGCAACCACCCAAAATCTTCCTTTACAGCATTTCTACTCGCAGTCTCCTCCTCTAACCGCCTATTAACACAATTTTCCTGGTTCTCCAACACCTTCTCCTCCACTAAAACCTCGATCCATTAAGAAAATCGGTCCACCAACCCATCCAAAGCAGCCACCTTATCCTCCAAGGACACCTTCTGCCCTACTAAAAGAACATAGCGCTCCTCGAACGCTCGCTTCTCCCCCTTTAACTCCAGCAATCTCACTTTTAGTTCATCATGCTCGGCTTTAATCAAAGCAAGCTCACTTGAATTAGAATTGCTCTGACGAAGGCAAGAGGCAATCACCACCATGTACGAACCAACCTGTACAGTTGCATATCAAAGGCTATTTGAAAGATGTGAGTTAGAAAGAAGCTCCAAAGCCTCGATGGTAAAAGGAGGAAAAGCATGCGAACCCTAATCATATGTTGTTGCGTGCTGGTAAAGAAGAGATTCTCTTGTTATACCCTATCCTGGCTCATATATGAATGACACTATCAGAGGAGCAGAAGCAGAACCCCCGACAGTACCTTCCCCAGTTAGAAGTAGGACTTGTGAGTTTGGAACACCTTTGTGAACAATGTCTAAGGCGACGGTTTCGACTGGCTCCTCTTTAGGTTTATGGGCTAGTTAATTCGCTCCTTCACTCATCCCCTCTAATTATTTTGGAGTCTCACTATCGAGGATGTCAACTACTACAATGTCCTCCTCCAAAAAGAAGTCCATGTTCTGCCTCTTGAGTAGGCATCAACATGAGGAGCTAGCCTCAACAGACTCTACAAGCGGTGAATCCAGCTAGGAAAGTCGTCGGTTAGAGGCCGTATGGGTGCTACACTGAGTCAATTTGGTCGACATCTCCTCCTCTTCCATATCTGAAGGCAAAGGGTCTTCATGGGAAACACCATCGACGGGAGCATCAATTGATGCATGACCAACAAGAGAATTAGACCCAGGCGAGGAAGAAAAAAGAGGGTTAGCAAGAGCCAAGGAACGGTCGGGACTTGCTAGTGGAGGGAGCGTCTCAGCCAAGGGAATATCCCGGTATTGGCAAGTACTCTGAAAGCAGCCCCTCAGCACCATCTCAAAGGGAAGGATCCTTTCTTTACCTACAAATGAGAAACAAGCCAACATAGATCACAAAACACACAAGTGAACACAAGAAAACAACAATCTAAAAAAAAGGGAGGGGGAAGGAGAGGTACTTACCATCCTTCTCAACATAGAACTCAGACGTCATCCGTCGAGCACTCTAAGCAGCACTCATCCTAATTGCAGCCATCATAAAATCCTCCCAATCCTTGCCATTAATGCAAATGGTCTTAAATTCTTGTGCCACAGTAGCACTAGCACCCCATGGTTCTAGTGCCCGATTGGAAAAAGTACTCAAACTAGGATAGCCAAAATCGACAAGGTTGTGATTTACCCAGAGCTATCGGTCTTTCCAGTTCTTCTTAAGAGCTTTTTGGTTAATGATAAAGGCATGAACAACCCACCTTTGGGAAAATGTCTGAGCACTGGATTGAGTAAAAGAATTGAAGAAAGCTTTAAATGCCAAAAACTGTGGCAAAACTCCAAGGGACCGACAAACGAGTTCAAAACCAATAATCTTGTTGACAACGTTTGGAGTCAAGTCATCCATGTGAAAGTCATTCTAACACATTACCTCATCGAAAAAGTCCATCGTTAGCAGCCTCAGACCAACCTTGAAGATCGGAATAGGGATTCCAACTTTCCCTTCCAGCAGACAAGAAATTATAGGCCCCTTTCGAGGGTATTCCACACCATGTTTAGGGAGCAACCCAAAGTGCTCTTGAACAACATTGGAGAACTCGGTCGAAGAAGAATGATTCTGGTATTTTGTCCAGCCATTGTTCGTTGAAAAACAGAGAGAAAGATGAAAAGAAGTAGCAGAAGTGTGAAGAAGCAAAAACAAAAGACGAACGGACATAAATGGAGGAAGATTTAAATGTAGGTGTGAAGTTCAAGAAGTTATGATGATGAAGACCACCTATGCAGACACCTCCATCACGTCAGAAGTTGTCAAAGAGCCATCCCTCCCAAACATGTGTCCCGATCTAAGCTAGAACAACTCAGCTACCCTAAGAAAACATTGACGTCTACTAGCATAGGGGACTTGATAACATATCCCACCAGGGATACGACAACCATAATAGAACCGTCAGTCTAATAAATGGGTTGGGCAAAGGACGGCATAACCCTAATGCCATGTCCTCACCCTCACCCTCGCAATCCTGTATCCGTTCCTTCGCACCCAAGGGCCAAGGTCAACGTCAAGACAAAATAGTATCAACTGCCTCCCAAAGCGACAGGTGTAGCGCTCAGGGTGCCACTCTTGGAAAACCTACACCAATAGCAAACAACCACCCATAGAGCATGATCTATCAATCAGATGTCATCTATCCCTGCCAAACCTGAAATAGTTAGAAGATACTATTGGGGATCTGTCCCACTGGCCAATGGTATCAAAAGGTCCCTTCTCCTCTAAGACAATGGATCGAAAGACCAACACTCTTAAACTCTTACTTAACCTTTTTTTTAACCTTCTCTCGAAGAAACAAAATGACTTGACCGTCGGAGCCACATTTCAGGACTGCCTCCTAGACGACGACTAGTGGTCTTGTTTTCTTTGTCTTGATACTCAGGCCCTTCATACCCATCCCTTAAAGAGACGGAGTTAAGCCGGAGACATATCACAACAATATCGAAATTAATAAATTAACTATTTTGTATAAAATCATAAATTACACACAATTTATAGCTTTACAATGATAATTGCTCACATACAACAACATATTTAAACTAATAAGTGGACTATAATATGTTAAAAAGTTAAAGTCGCATTTTTATAAATAGAAGTAAAATATGATATTTTAATACTGTAGTTTAGTTAATTTATGATTAAAATTTAGTTTTTAAATTAATTTAATATTATTAACCATTTTATAATAAATGTTAGAAAGAAATTGAAGAGTTATGAAGGTTTCAAATGCATGTGATACAAGTAAAAATTTCTATTTTATGTATATACTAGGCAAATATCCGCTAGTTGCACAAAATATTATAATATAATTAATATATGATATTAAAAATAGTTGTGTTGGTATCATTCACTTTGAAATAATATTTTTTACATTGTAATTACTTTAAATATAGAATAAGATAGGTACATATTTGAACTAATTCACCTCAACAATGTTTATTCTTGGATGGTATAAAATTTCATTAACTTTTGATTTATTGTATTATTTACTATTATGTTAACTAACCAATTCTATATCTATCTTTTAGAATTGTATTCTCTTAATGATATATATCCAAACATGTTTTTTTATATAACAATAATAGTTTGATCTATCGTTTTTTTCCTCATAAAATACATCAATAAATATTTTCTAACGGTCACCTACATAAAAAAAATTTAATATATATATATATATATATATATATATATATATATATATATATATATATATATATAATTAGTTAACTTTGAAAAAATATTTAATCATACGTTTACATAGAGACAAATGTGAGTAAGGAAGTCATTTTACCTCAAGAATATCACACTACCAAATTTCGGGTTATCGGTTTGATGTTTGTCACTTGACCAAATCGTTCGTTAATCTGCTTTTTTTTCATTCGGGTACAGTTTGAACAAATTAGGTTATGTTACTCGAATAACACACTAAATCCAAATTGTTTCATTTGTTTTCTCTTACTCACATAATCTCATTGTAATAGCCCGAAATTCAGGTATTCTTCTATTTGGCCCTGCATCTTGGTTATGTTGTCATTTTAGGGTTTTCATGATAGGCGAGTACGCTGCGCGTACTCGCGCGCCTCATTTGGATGCGTTCACCCTCAGGTACGCTGTGCGTACCTAAGGTTACACCGGGCGTAACCGGTCCAGACCTAAAAACCCTAATTCCTTTGGAAGGCTATAAGAGGAATGTGTGGCTGGACTTCTTAGCGACCATCCCTCAAAGAGAAACCCTAAAGAGAGTGTGCATTCGTTCTTAAGCCATTTTCTGAGTATTCAAAGCTTGGTGGTGCAATTCCAAGGTTGCAAAGGAGAAGAAGAACTCATTGGGAAGGTTAGAAGTGGTGTTCAAGTGTAGAGCTGAGCTTTGCAAGGGTTGAAGCTTCATTATCAAGTAAAAAGTTTGGATCTTGTCACTTGGTTCATGTTATATGCTTCAAGTACCATTTTCTAGGGTTTTAGTCCCAAAGGTGGAGACTTTTTGTGCAAATGGTCTCCATAGGCTTAGATCCATCATACTTCTGGTCTATTGGAGTTTTAGACTCATAAAAATGACATCTTGGACGTGAATGTTGCACCATGAAATAGATCTAGGTCCTTGAGTTGGAATAGAATGATGTTAAGTAGTGTTGGAGCGTTTACAGCTATGCCAAGGCTTAGAGGTCTCGACTTTATGGGTTTAGACGAATAAACAGAGTTGATCTAGAAGTTGGAGTAACGGCTTAACCAATTAAGACCAGAAATAAAGAATGTTAGAATCTGATGGTTACGCTGGGCGAAACTCCCAGTACGCACAGCGTACTGGGTGGAGACCCAATCCATTGGCTAGCGATGTACGCCTGGCGTACATCAAGCAGTACGCCCCGCGTACTCACGAGGTTGACTTTTGTTGACTTTTAGGGTTTTGGTCAACATGAAGACTTTGGGTCAAGGAAGGGTAAAATGGTCTTTTACCCTCTGAGGAATGATGATAAGGGGTAAAGTTTTAGTTGTGGAAGTCTTTGATTATTAAATGATATTTTTATGATTAGGCGAGGTAGAGTCTTCGTTGGGATTGGAGATAGCGAGTATGCGAGATCTTAGACTTTCCATGAGCTGAGTTTTCTCACTATACT